GGCTGGCATCTCTCTGCCCACACCACCCACAATCTTGTCCTCTGGCCTCTTCTGTCCACCCACAGCTCCTTCCCTAAAGTATATTAGATGCACCAAAGTCACTCAGTTCAGCAAATTTTCACTAAGTGCCCTGACCGATGCTAAGTGCATAAGAGAGGGTACACTTCTTGGAGAATTAATGCGTTAGGGAGATGTCATAAATGTCCCCCCTTTGCAGTATGTGTTGGGGGTGGCTGCATTGTGATTTAAAAGGTTCTCCCTGTGCCAGGCACAATGGTCACACCTGTAATCCCAGCAACTCAGGAGGCTGAGGCAAGAGGATCACCAAGTTCAAGGCCAGCCTAGGCAATTCTGCAAAACATTATCTCAAAATAATAATGGCCGGGGATGTGGCGCAGTGGTAGTATGACCCTGGGTTCAATTCCCAGTCACTCACACACACACACACACACACACACACACACACACACAGGCTCCCCCTATTGAGGTTTGAGGTAAAGACCCCACTGAGCTGTGACAGTGCTAGGTGTCATCTCAAAAGAATATGATGATTCCTAATGTTAAATACCCTGAAAAGAGGCAGCTCCTCCAATCAGATATATATATATATATATATATATATATCTAGAAGGTGAGCTTTGACCACCAGGAATAGAACCTCCTTTGAGTTTTCCCTGGATGTGGAGTCAGACATTGTGGAAAGCAGTCATGCTGGAGGGCAGTCTTGGTAACAAACTACATGCAAAGACAGAAGAGCCTTATTCTGTCAACAGAGTGCCTAGTTACATATTTATTTTCAGTGTTCATTTTGTTCCCTCAAGCACCCTAGAGCAGCACTCCTGAGACAGGCAAGTGAGGGCTGGCAATTGGTCCGAGGAGAAGGTAGCCCTTGGAAACAGAAGTCACTACTAAGCAGGCCAAGCACCCCACTGGTGTCCCTCTCTCCACTACCAAATTTTATTAAGTGTCTCACTGGGTTTCCTTCCAGAATGCAGTGCACACACAGACAGCTGGTAAATCCAAGATGGCAGCATGATGAGATGAACAGATGAAGTTCAGAACAACTGTGTGCAAGCAGGGGACAAAAATTTTAGATAACACTGTGGCCTTGTGCACATCACATGACTTCCTTAGACTTCGTGTGTTCATCTATAAAATGAATGATCTGAATTGGATATTACCAAAGGGGATTTCGTGCTCTGCCACGAACTACCAATCTAAATACACTAATGTGCACTACTGATAACTTGCTCAAAGAGTTAAGAAAGGAGGATTCCACCCGCAGGGTGGCTGTAAAGGGTTTTGTGAAGGAGTAAGGATTTGAACTGGGACAGAGGACAAGAAGAGCTGAGACAAGAAGCATTAGAAGACTCAGTGGCCAGGATTTAGGAACACAGGTGGTATGTCTGGGGAAATCCTCCCTGCTGCGTTGGGAGAGTGGAGCTGGGGTAGTGGAGACTAAAAATCTGGGTGGAGACCCAGAGACCACAGACAGTACTCAAGGAGAAACTATGGAACAGAGATAGGGTATTGACATCAAGAAAGTGACCAGAAGCTGAGTCTCCTCAACCTTCCCTGTGTTCCCAGTTACCCATTCAAGTACATTATTAATACTACGTGCCAGGCACTAGGTGCTAGAGATGTACTGGGTAGGAGAACACGCAGGAGGGGAGAAAGAAGACACTGTAAACATGAAGAGGAAGAACTGCCCTTTACTTCTATGAATAATTTGCCCTCTAGGCATGTTTTAGAGCTTATTTTAACTGGATTTCAACAAAAAACATCCAATATGGGTGTGGAGATGGGATGAAGCAGTCTCTGCTTTTTCTTTTTTAGTCCTAGATGGACACAATAGCTTTATTTTATTTGTTTTCTTTTTTTTAATGTGGTGGCGGGGATTGAACGCAGTGCCTCACACAAACTAGGCAAGCGTTCTACCACTGAGCCACAATCCCAGCCTCTCTGCTTTTCTTAATACTGAAAAAAGTATGGCACTTCCCTTAACCCTTGTGAACCTTTATTTCTTTGTCTGTATAATGGGCCTGACACCCCGTCAAGATTAAATGAGATGCCTGGAGGGGAATGCCTCCTAGTTAAGATTACTAATTAAATAAACAAGTAAATTAGCCTACAGAGTGGCACTGCAGTCTGTCTACAGGATTCTCTTCTGTCAGTAACTTGTCAGAATCTATCCTTTGCCTGCCCAGTTCATGGGGCCTGGCTGTATGCTACACGGTTCAGTGGATTTTAGTATATTCATAGATCTGTGCAATCATCACCCTCGTCAGGTTAGGAATAAACAATCATTTTGCCTCAGTCAATTTGGAACATCTTCATCACCTTAAAAAGAAACCCTATGTAGCCGGGCACAGTAGCACACACCTGTGTTCCCAGTGACTCGGGAGACTGAGGCAGGAGGATCATGAGTTCAAAGCCAGCCTCAGCAAAAGCAAAGCACTAAGCAATTCAGTAAGACCCTGTCTCTAAATAAAATACAAAATAGGGCTGGGGATGTGGCTCAGCAGTTGAACACCCCTGAGTTCAATCCCCAGTACCAAAAAAAAGAAAAAGAAAAAGAAAAGAAACCCTGTGTCTATTAAGTCTCAGTTCTAAGCAATCTTCAGATCTAAGCAATCGTTGGTCAAATACAGATGCTTTAACCAGATAAAGCATCACAGGTTTAAAAAATCACAAGTCACAACTGCTAAGGAAATCAGTATGGAACCACCATCTGACCCTGCTATACCATTCCCTGGTATTTATCCTAAAGAATTAAAGTCAGCATACTATAGCGATGCATGCATACCCATGTTTGGGGCAGCACAATTCATAATAGCCAAATTATAGAGCCAGCCTATGCCAATTAATGGACAAAAAATGCAGTTCATATGCACAATGGAGTTTTCTTTAGCCATAAAGAAGAATGAAATAAAGTCACTTGCAGGAAAATGGATGGGACTTGAAACCATCAATGTTAAGCAAAATAAGCCAAATGCAAAAAGTCAAGGGTCATGTTTTCTCTCATTTGTGGAGGTTAAAAAGAAAGAAGTGGGGTAAAAAGGTGTTGAGGGTGTGGGTAATCTCAAGAAAATAGAAGGGAGACCAGTAGAGTGGAGAAAGAAGATGGGGAAGGGAAAGAGAAAGTACTGGGGAAGGAAATGAACCAAATTATATTGCTATATAGTATGCATGTAGAAATATGTAACAACAAATGCCTCAATCACATGTTGTTATAATGTACCAATAAAAAATCTAAAAATAAACCGGGTGTGGTGGCCCACACCTGTTAATCCCAGTGGCTCAGGAGGCTGAGGCAGCAGGCTTGCGAGTTCAAAGCCAGCCTTAGTAAAAGCAAGGTGCTGAGCAACTCATTGAGACCCTGTCTCTAAATAAAATACAAAATAGGACTGGGGAGTTGGCTCAGTGGATGAGTGCCAATGAGTTCAATCCCCAATACCAAAAAAATTAAAAATAAAAATAAATAAATAAAAGAAACCATAGAGAACCCCCTCACCCTTCTCACCATGTAAGGACAGCAAAAAAACATCACCATGGTGATGAACTGGACAGCCACGCTGCCCCTTCACCAGACACCAATTCTGCCAACGCCTTGATCTTAGACTTCTCAGCCTCCCATACTATAAGAAACAAATTCTGCTGTCTATAAAAATAAAAATAAAATATCCTAAGTCAAAAATGTTTCTAATACATCCATCCTGCCAAACAGCACCACTTAACCTAGCCTACCTTAAATGTGCTTAGAATACTTACATTATCCTACAGTTGAGCAAAATCATCTAAGACAAAGCCAATTGTATAATCAAGTACTGAATATTCCACATAATTTATTGAATACCTCTCTGAGAGTGAAAAACAGAACTGTTGCATAGATAGGCCCTTTTTTTGGGAGGTGGGGAGGGAGCAATGAGGATTGAACCCAGGGGTGTTTAACCATTGAGCCACATCCTCAGCTCTTTTTATTTTCTTTATTTTGAGACAGAGTCTTGCTAAGTTGCTTAGAGCCTTGTTAAATTGCCGTGGCTGGCCTCAAACTTGTTTATGATCCTCCTGCCTCTGTCTCCCCAATCACTGGGAGGTGTGTGCCACCATGCCTGACTGCATAGGTATATTTTTATATCACTGTAAAATTTTAAAAAACATAAGTCAAACTGTTGCAAGTTGGGACTATCTGTGCCAGAATATTTTGGTGGCACCACAGAAGATATTGAAAGGGCACAACACCAAATGAGCCAGCCAAAATTCCAATGCAATGGCTGTGAAGCATGACAGGGTCGTTCATTGCCTCTGAGAGTCTACAGCGCTCCACCACTGAGCTACAGCCCCAGCGATTTAAATGAGTGAATTACATGGAATATGAATAATATATTTTTTTTAATATTTTTTATTTTTTAGTTTTAGGTAGACACAATATCTTTATTTTACTTTTATGTGGTGCTGAGAATCGAACCCAGTGCCCCACGCACGCTAGGTGAGCGCGCCACCACTTGAGCCACATCCCCAGCCCCTGAATAATATCTTAATAAAGCTTTTTTTTTTAATGCTGGTATTTAGGAACATGATGAACATGTAAGACAGAACACTGATCCTGAAGTGTCTGCGTGAACAAGGCAGGCCATGAGGCACTTACAGTATTTTTCTCTACCTTTGACACAAGTCCTGGGCCCAAGAAATCTTTCAATTGCCTCTTAACCCAAGTGTTAGAACAAAGAGCAGCTTGAATGGTTCCTGGCTTTGGCTGCAGGGATGGTGGTGAACTGGACAGCCCATGCCATCTCCAGCTGAGAGATGCTAGGTGGATACAGGCCAAGCACAGGCATAGTTTTCTCTTTTTTTTTTTTTTGTAATAGGACAACTCTAGACTTGTGTGTATGTAAAATATCTTATGTTTTAAATGAGCAAACAGTTCAATTCTTAAAGACTGTGCAAGACAACAGAGCATGGGAAAGCAAACCAAACACATTTTAAGGACTTCATATTACCTGTAAACGTCACACTTGCCGCCTCTAATCTAAGGTCACTGAGCAATCCTGGTGGAAGTCCTTCTTCCCTGGGCAAGGGTCCGGTCTCTGAGCTGTAGACACACTGTCTCACCTGGTGAATGACATGAGTACAAGAGATCAGCATGTAGCTTGGTTGTAGTTATCTTAAGAAGCAACAGCCCAAAGAGCAGAAACCACCTAAATGTCCATCAATGGAGGAACAGGTATAGAAAATGTGGTATTGTCCTGCAAGGGAATATTTATTATTCCGTGTTAAAAATCAATGAAGAACTGGTCATGCCATATGGTTGGACCTTGAATACATCATGCTAAATCAAAGAAACCAGATACAAAGGTCATACATTATGTGATTTCACTTACACGAAATTTCCAGATTAAGTAAGTCTAGGGAGGCAGAAAGCATATCAGTGGTTGCCAGAAGCTACAGGAAGGTGGGATGAGGTGTGACTTTTTAAGTGGATAGTGGGGTCTTCAAGAGTGATGAAAATGTGTTGGAACTAGACAGAAGTGACGGTAGCACACAACACTGTCACTATGTTAAACACACTAGATTGGGCACTTCCAAATAGTTCATTTATATTGTACGGATTTCACTTCAATTTTTAAAAAAGCAACAGAAACTGGGGGTGAGAAAATCAAGGAGTGGCAGGTACATGGGGACAACTGCAGTTATCTGGGTGAGCGATGGATTCTTCTTGAAGCACCAGAAAAGGCTCCCAAAGGGTAGACTATGGAGTGGAGTTCTCCAGCTAGACAAGAGGGCACCAGACACAGTCTGTTTGAAGGCGTGGACAGAGAGCACGTAAGGTTTAGAGGATGGCAAGAGCATGGTGTGAGGTAAGTCTGTGGAAATGGAATTTCCTGAAGTTATAATATATATCTGGAATGCCTAGGAAAGACTCCCTGTGGTAATCCCAGAGTGAGTCACATCCCAAAATATGTTTTACAACTCAGGGAAGGGCCCGTTCAAAGGCAAAGTGTGGTGCACTCGTTTGTAATAGGTGTCTCCTCCTCTTCCGAGTCAGTCCACCATTTCCTATCCAGACAGCAATTCAGAGCCTTCACCTTTGGTTACAGGCCCAATTTTTCCCCCAAAAAAAATGTAATTTTTTTTTTCCCTTGGCTTTTCCCTCGATTGAGTAGATTTCAGTTCTAACAACTACCAAAAAAAAAAAAAAAATAGTATTGAGGTGAAGTAGAGGGGAGGCACCCTTTCATACCCACTAACTGGTTTGCCTCTTGTTCACAACATACTGTTCACTATCACACTTACATTTAATTACTTGGCAATATACCTGGGTTGTATCGCCTGAAAATGTTTTCCTAACCTTTCTTTGGCATTTATGAAGTCATTTTTACAACTTCCATAAATTAACTTTCTCTTATCAAATTTTATATTTTAAAAAAGAGCTATATCAATAAAACCACAATGAGACATCATTTCATCAAAGACACCAGGATGGCTGTTTTTTGTTTTGTTTCAGAAAAATAAATAAGACAGATAGACATCATTACCCTTAGTACATGAATGATTGTACAAATGGTGTGACCCTGTTTTGTGTACAACCAGAGAAGTGAAAAACTGTGCTCCATTTGTGTACAATGAATCAAAACGCATTCTCCTGTTATGTATAACTGATTAGAACAAATAAATTAATTAAGAAAACTTTAAAAATAAGTAAATAAATTAAAAAAAAGAGTAACAAACAGTGGCAAAGAGGGAGAGAAATTAGGAGCCCTTCCTTGTGCACTGCTGATGGGAATGTAAAATGGTGTAGTTGCTTGGGAAAACAGTTTGGCAGCTTCTCAAAAAACTACCAAAATTACTAAGGATCCAGTGTCTCCCAAGTGAAACGCAGAGACTCAAAGAGATGTCTGTGCTTTACAATTCATAGGAGTAACATTTGTTCGTGGGCAGATAAACGGATGGACCTCATGCAGGGTGTGTGTGTGTGTGTGTGTGTGTGTGTGTGTTTGTGTATAATGCAATATTATTTGATCTTAAAAGGAATAAAGTTCTGAAACTTGCTAAAACATGAGTGAACTTTGAGAACATCAAACTAAGTGATATCAGTCAGTCACAAAAATACAAATACTGTCAGATTCCACTGACATGAGGTAGGAGAGTTGTCAAATTCATAAAAATGGAGAATACAATGTGGTCACCAGGTGGGTGATGGAGTGGGAAATGTTTAATGAGCTTCAGTGTGGGAAGATGAACATTCCAGAAACAGATAATGGCGATGGCTGCATAATAATGTAAATGTATTTAACACCCCTGAACTATATGCTTAAAAAAGGTTTGGGTGACTGGGAATGCAGCTCAGTGGTAAAGCACTTTCCTCACTTGCAAGAGATCCTAGATTCTATCCCCAAGCAACCCCCCTCCCCAAAACAAGTTTAAAATGGTGGATTTTCTTTTATGTATATTTTACAATAGAAAAAAATTAAAGAATCACCTTAAATTCATATAAGTCAAAATGCAAATTCCCAGGCTTTGTGCCCAAGAGATTCCTATTCTGCAGGTCTAGGGTGAGGAATCTGAATGTTTAGATGAGCCCTTGAGTAATTCTGATGCTGAGGCTCAGGATACACACGGAGATCCCCTGTTCCTTCATGTTGACACTGAAATGACATCCTGAACCCTGGTTAGGTTTACTAACCTCCTTATCCAATTTAGTATCAATGAAAACAACTCGGGGCATATTTTATTAAAAAAAAAAATTAAATGTTTCATCAATGAGCCAACTTTACCAATGAAAGCATTGTAAGGGAAGGATCCATAGAAACCACTTCACAAATATCTGAAACACTGATCAATGTATATTCCTACCAACCCAAGGGAATAGTTTGGAAAATCATGTTTTCTCTCCTCCCTCTTCAACTCATTTCAAATACGGAAAGTTTCCATTTGGGCCTCTTTTTTTCTGCCAGGACTGTGTCAGAGTAAAGAGCACAAAAGACAGTATATTCCATTATAGTCAGGGATATTTCTCTTGATTTGAAAGTGATAAAAGAGATGAGGGCCATTGCACAATGTGGTTCTTTCTGAGATGTTTTGTAAAACAGCATGTTCCAGGGCTGGGGATGTGGCTCAAGCGGTAGCGCGCTCGCCTGGCATGCGTGCGGCCCGGGTTCGATCCTCAGCACCACATACAAACAAAGATGTTGTGTCCGCCGAGAACTAAAAAATAAATATTAAATAAAAAATTCTCTCTCTCTCTTTCTATCTCTCTCACTCTCTCTTAAAAAAAAAAAAAAAACAGCATGTTCCAGTGTCTTTTGCATCTTCTGTACTGATAGCAAATCTGCATGGAGTGACACTGGAACAAGATAGTAAAAGTCAAGGCCTTGGAGTGCGGCAGTCTTCCAGATTGAGGACTGAACTTCAGACTGGAGCTATCGGTATGTGGCTACCCTTCTCCCTGGGAGGAGTATATAAACTCTCAGAGCTATCAACCCTCTCTGCTAACATTAAAGACTCTGCCTACACGGACCTTAATCCTATCTGCATCCTCTTCCCTCCCTCTACTGCCCGAGTAGGTGGTCCAACAGACCACCCTCTGCTCTCTGTGCCTATGTGTAACCTGAAGTATCTGTCTTGGCACTTGTGCTTATGCTCTCCCTGGGCCTAGAACATTCCCACTAAATTCCAGTGCTCCAATTCCTTGCTGTGTTTCCCTGTCACCTCCTTCAAGAAGTCCTGCATGTTTCCTCCCCTTCCTTTCCTCTCCGATATCTTTTCTTTCCTCTTTTATCACTTTGATCACTACCTTGATTTTTCATCCTTGTAGCATTTATCATTTTTTTCTGTGCTTTATTTTATTTCACTTATGTAAAAGCACTTTGAGGTTGAAGACTGAGCACTATTAGACTATTAGTCTTTGAATTATATCTTTTTTGGCAGGCACCATGATGACCCATGCAACGGCCATTCCCCTTTCCAGTGCCAACAGGACTCCAAGGTCTGATGGCTAACAGATGGGCGTCCGTGCTTATCACTGTGCATCCTTCAGCTATTTTTGGAAGATGAAATAATCAGTTGGGATAATTAGCTGCATGATTCTGGTTTAACAAAGGGAAAAATTCATCCTTAAAAAAGACAAGGAAGAGGTATTATTATTATTTGCAAAAGAAATTGAAGTATCCAGCCAGGCAAAGTGGCACACACCTGCTCACCTGTAATCCCAGCTACTCTGGAGCTGAGTTGGGAAGATCACAAGTTCAAGGGCAGTCTGGGCAACTTATTAAGACCCTGTCTCAAAAATAAACATTTTTTAAAAGGGGGTATACGGGTATAGTTCAGTGGTAGAGCATTTGCCTAGCTAAAGTGAGGTCCTGGGTCCAGTCCCCAATATTGAAAGAGAGACACACAGAGGCGCGCGGTGTGTGTGGGGGGGGGGGGGGGGGGGCGGATTGAAATAGTCTCCTCAGCTCTTTCTACAGTTTATGTTTAAAGGATCATTTGCCAATGACTCTTTAGTGATCTTCATCTATCTGAAGCTAGAGTAGACACAGTTTCGTTGTATGCAATTAGCCAGAAGTCTAAGAGAAAGAAAGAATGAAGCAAGGCGACTCAAGATGCCCAATCAGAGGCACAGGCAAAATCTACTGCTAAACCAAGAAAGCAGAGAACTTTCAGGAGCAGGGAGGTGACTGTCCTTGGAGCCAGAATTTGCTGGCTTTGTAGACAGGAGGGTGGGAAAAGTGAGAGCAAGAGGAAAAGAAGCTTAGAGCAGAGGAATCAGATATAATCAGGCAGGGGATGGAGGTTGAGAGGGGCAATTATTACTCATCTCCTGAGACAAGAGAGAAGGACAGGAAGATTCCTAGATTTAAAAATAAACTCTTTTGACCACTTCAGCCTCCTTCTGGCCAAGGCTACACAGCACTCTTCCTCTAGTCAGATTATTTACTGTGTAAGTGCATGTCCATATGCTAGACAAGGGTCAAAAACATTTTTTCCTAAAGGGTCAGATATCTTGGGCTTTCTGAGTCAGTTTCCGTCATAACTACTCAAATCTGCCGTACTATGCAAAAGCAGCCATGGTTTTTATGCTTTACCACTGAGTTACATCCTGAGCACTTTTC